TTAACTTCAGTTCTTCATACAGCTTCATCATCTGCTGCTTAGCTGCAGCACAGAAGACATTGCGATGAATGAGGTATTGCAAATATACTGCATCCATCTTTGACAACTTCAAATTGGCTTCAGTTTGATCTGAGATTTCAAAATCTACTGAACCATGTATACCATCAGGGAAACATCTTTGTACAACCTCAGTGAATGTTATCCTTTGTAACAAAGCTGTAACTCCTCTTGCAAAACGTTTTCGCTTCTTCACTTTTCTCCTGTTTTCTTTTCTCTACTTATTCTTCTTTTACTTACATCTGACAGTCCATGAAATACATTTCTTAACCAAGTTAGTGTTTTATCAAGATCTGCCATGAACTCAGTAGATTGACTGCAGTTCACTCACCATGCTGTCATTGTAAGCCGTCTGTTCAGTAGCCCACTGTTTTAGGTGTCTTTCGTAACTGGTAAATAAGTCAGAGTAACTTTCCCCAACCAGTGACAAATAGTGAGAGGCCGTACCACTTCTTAAGCGTGCATGAGACCCCATGTGTGAATAGTAATAGTGAAAGAAGACAGCCAGATGATTGGCAGTCGCGTTTCAACATCACACAGAATTTCAAAAATGGGCTTTTGTCTTTGGAGAATACTGAGAGCATCAAAGAATTTTCCTATAAGTATGCAGTGGAAGAGCAATATGTCATAGACTATTTACAACACCTTACCACACTAAAGCAAATGAAAACCATTAGGGAAAAAAAGTAGAAAGAAACAACAAAAAAAGAAGAAACAAGAAAAAAGTCATAGTGATTATGACTGGATTTCTTTGGTGTTGAATGGGACACTAAAAACATTGCATTTAGGTGGCAACGAGCTTTAAATGTCAATCGTGAAGTTACGCCGTCTCGGCTCAACAGCAGCCAACCAAAACAGGTTGTTATAAATAGACAGGCTTTTATTCGGTTTTTCCGCGATGGTGTAATGAAGATCGCGTCCAAGCACCTGATGTTAAATATTAAAACAACATTGAAATAATAATGTAATGGTAGTCACTCTCTGAATGATGTGGTGGTCCTGAATAGGCAGTTTGTCTTGTGCTAGTTTTTGCTCAGTTAGTAAAGTGTGGGGATCGAACGGGATTGACACGACAACACCACACTGTACTTTCCTAGTTTGGTTCATTA